AGTCAAAATGGGCCTGTTTTTGAATTCACAAATTCTGAAATGAAACTGGACATCTTCCCACAGGTTCCAATTTATGCCCCCTTCCTCTTCCAGAAATAAGTAATATGATCATTCATTCACTTAGAATGACTGCCAAAATGCTGCAAGTACTGATTGTAAATTTTTTTAATGTCAAGCTTGATGAGTTGTTCTAGATTTGTCTACTGGCTTCAGAAAAATCCCAGTTCCTTTACTGTCACCCTGCTTTGGGTTATCCAAAAAGCCAATAGAAAATTCTACTTAATGTCTTCAGACAAGGAAGTGCACTTTTTGTATTGTCCTCTAGCTGGAGAAGATAAAGAAGTTGCTGCTTCCTGTGTGTGTATTTCTAGTATTTTACTGCTCATGAGAAACCCAAAGAGGCAGACAGGAACTTAGGACATAAGCATTTGCAGAAATAACAGTGCATACAGTAAAGACATCAGAGGAACGTAATGTAGGTCGCCTTCCCCCTAAGATAGTAACAATGCATAATTATGAACGACCTTACAGAGTACTCCAAAACATGGACAACTTTGACCGAATTAAAAACCTCAAGTCCTTTCCTGGCAGTAGAGCTGGATGCAGCACAGTTATGTGGAAGTCAGTTTTGTGTGTCTGCATGCAGTGGTGCTGCATTAACACACAGACTTCAAAATTATTGCTCCCTGCATTAACTTACTTCTCGTGTAGCCATGGTGAACCAGTCCTGTTTGCTCCATCCTGCATTTCTCAAACGGTATTCTGCAGTAACTAAAACACCTCCAGTCTCATTTGCATCACCTGTACAAACACGGGCACAGCCCCCAGAGAGCTCCCAGGTTAGGAGCCTCGTCCACCCATCCTTCCAAAAGAGGATGGAAAAGAGTTGAGTGCAAAAAGCACGAGCAGAACCGAAGGAGAAGTGCTCACACCAATGGCAGCTTTTATGCGAGTGCCTTGCCACCTGTCTGACTGACTGCAGGACGCCAGCCTTTGTGCTCTGCTAGGGCACGCATAAGAACATTTTAATGGGAAGCGGCCTGGTTTTTAAAGAGCCAACATTAGAAGGGAAAATTTTGTATATAAAAAAAAAGCAACCGGGTTACAGAATGTCCGTGCGAATGGAACAAAGCATTTCCAAACATGACTCAGTCTGTCTGTGTGTGTTTTTCCTATACATGTAGCAAGCTCTGCTTTGCAAGAATTGTATTTTTTTACCATATTGTTTTTATTAAGAACCTAGAGAGGTTCATTTTTCCTCAAAATCCATGCTCCGGAGTCATGATTTCATAAGTCCTAACTTATGAAAGTCCTTTGGTTTCATTAAAATTTTGGCCCTTCTGACTGTGAAGAACAGGCAAAAAGAAAAGGAGAACTGTAAAATTTCAAACACTAGAGGAATTTTCAGTAGGTCTGATGGAAGTTTGGGGTCTGACTCTCAGTTTCTGATTGTTGGGGTTAGCAGCACTATTAGGCTCAAGACTAGAGGCTTAAAAATTGGCTTAATACTCATATAAGGGTTTGAGCAGGATATTTTCTTTTATTCTTTCTTCCCCACCCCTAGACTGGTACCAAATTACATACATTGCTTCAGATTTCCAACATTTCCCAATCTGGATTAATTTACATTTGGAGAGAGGGTGTGAATTAAACTGTTATAAAAGGCTTAGATGCAGTGCCAACTTGTTACTATGCTTTCAAGCATCAAATACTGTTTCTATTAAGGAAGCTCTTGGAGAATTCTTTGCAACTGTAAATCTCTCTCATTGCACAGCTAATTTATCAAATGCAGAAGAAGACATACAAACGAAGGCATTCGTAGTGATTCAACTGCAGACCTTGCTGCAGTTGGAGGCTCTATCATATTATGGCCTACAGTAAGATGTTGCCTTCTTCAAGATTTCAGTCTGAGAAAAACCCAAATGTTACAGGGCTGATTAGGGGACTAGAACATCTCTCTTATGACGAAAGGCCAATGGACTTGGGTCTTTTTAGTCTGGAGAAGAACAGACTGAGGGGAGATCTGATCAATGCCCATAAGTACTTGAAGCGTGGGTGTCAAGAGGACGGGACCAGTCTTTTTCCAGTGGTGCCCAGTGACAGGACAAGAGGTAACAGGCACAAACTTGAACATAAGAAGTTCCATCGAAACATGAGGGGGAACTTCTTTACTTTGAGGGTGGCAGAGCACTGGAACAGGCTGCCCAGAGAGGTGGTGGAGTCTCCATCTCTGGAGATATTCAAAACCCGCCTGGACACGTTCCTGTGCAACCTGCTGTAGGTGGACCTGCTCTGGCAGGGGAGTTGGACTAGATGATCTCCAGAGGTCCCTTCCAACCCTGTATCATTCAGTGATTCTGTCATTCTGTGATTCTGTAATTAAAACACTAAAGCATTGGATGAGGCTGATTCAAATTTAGCTATGTAAAGGATGGTCTCATTCTTGCTGTTATTGATACTCGTATCAGAGCTGGGTTAGTCACTGAGGCTTTTGCTAGCAAATTGTATTCAAGGCCTGTTCAGCTTCTCCCTTGCTAGCATTCACAGAAATCTCCCCCTTCTATATTAGCTAAATCAACTAGCCTCTGCCCATTTTTGTAGGCTCTGTAAAAATTATTCAGGGATTACAAATTTCCCAGCAATTGCAATGTCAATCCTGAAGCATTACTGGCAAACACATCCTGCGGACACTTTAGTGTGTTCATCAACTTGTGATCTTTAGCCTGTCCTAACCTTCAGGTCTCCACCACCTGGGTAAGGGCTCTCCTTCAAGCTAGGGAATATATGAAGGAGCTTAGAGCTGAGTTTCTCATCTTTAGTTTCTCACCAATAGGCCTGCAGAAGCAGAAGGGACTCAGAGCTTTGAGGGGAATTGTTGGTGATCCTTTGTTCATCCTTTCCAATCAACAGCTACAAGAAAGAGCCTTAGAGGTTCTGCATTCCTCCTTTATGGGTTTTCTTCTGACATTCCCCCTGTACCGGATTTCTTCTGTCCTTTGCAGGTATGTGAGTGGTATTGCAGGGTAGTACAGAGTACAGCTCATCTGCCACATCACCAGTGCCAGCATCAGAGACAGCCCAAATGCTGCCAGCAAAGATCTTAGTCCTTCTTCCCACCAGTTCAATAGCTTGATTACTTTTCTCTGACTTTCTGAGAGTAATGTATATGCATCAGCATATAACTCATCGAATGTGACTAATAGTTTTATGGTGCTTAATATATGAGATAAATGTGAACTGATATGAACCGAAATGTAAAGAAATTACCACACAGCAGGTTTTAAACAAACAGAAAACAATTGCTTTAACACAGTGCTTAATACTGTTGTTGGGCTCATAGCCATTAATTGCTGTGGCAGCAAAAATGGATAAACGGGCTTTAAAAAGATTGGAAAGATTTGTGGAGGATGATTCCATCCTTGGCTATTAAATATGATGATCCAAATGCAACCTCTGACTCAAGAAATTGTTCAACTTCACCAAAAGGTGCCACAATGTTCTAGGAGAAGAAAGACTCTTCAGAGAGAAACATTCCCTGAGTATTAACCTTGGCCCCTGTTGGTGATAAGATGTTCAGCTAACTGAACTTTGGTATGGTATGTTATGTTTTTCCTAAAAATTCTGCATTTGCCTAATATGTTTTCTATAGTGTCATGCAGGGGTTCATCTATAAGGACTTGTACAGTTCTGGTGAATTTGCCTCTTGCAACCAATAGGATATTGCTGGACCCTATGCAATGAAATATATATATGGTTCTAATAATTGGGGGTTTACCTCTATTCAGTAGTACCCATTCTTCTCTGTCATGAGTCCACCAATTAAAAATGGAAACTATGGGAATGTGTCCACGCTGTGCTTGCAATGCCTCTGAGTCTGCAATACAGAAGGCACGCTACAGTGAGACAGAAAATACCTGTGTGCTGCTGCACCTCCTGATATAACCTGCAACAGAACTGGCTATTCTTGTAGTCATAAAACAGTCACTGAAAAAAAAATAACACTACTTTATCCAGTAATTGCATATCCTGCGCAGCCACACTGCAGCTGAGGTGAGAATCATGCAGTCAGATAGTTTGGAAAAAGAGTCTCAAACCCCAGCTCCTGCAGGCAGGAGACTGTGTTCACTCCCGTCTTCACTGAGCAGGCTCAAACCTCTCCTGAAACACAGAGGTTAAAATTGCCGCTCCAAACAGTCCCACCCAAGAGACTGCTCTGAAGCTTTTTGCATGGAAAGGATTTAATTAGAATGATATTTTCGTGGTACATTGCAGTATAACAAAATGCACACTTTGTGATTCACGGTACAGGTTTGCTTAGACAACCTTTAAGATGATCCCTAAGTGCAGAAAGGGACGAGAGGCAAGGAGAGGCTTTCCTGAGCAGGTTTGAATGTCATAAATGCACAGTTATGGCTTAGTAATTGTATCACAGTTGACAGATGCTGCAGCAGTCACGTGACTAGAACATGACCTCATATTTCGGCTCTCTCCCCTCCTCCCCCAGTGATGAGGGCAGCGCTGGCACTTAAATAAGCAGAAGGCATTTACAGAAGGCGAGTTTCTAAGTTACTTAAAGGAGAAGCCTGAATTGGGACACAGAGACATACTTTGTATGGGCTATTAAGCAGCTGCTCAACAGTGGCCGTGAGGCAAAACTCTTTTTTTTCCACTTGGGAAGTGCACTACAGTTGCTATTAGGTTAAAAATATTGAATCCAAAGTCACATGGGCTTAGGTCATCCCTTCCCAAGGAAAAATCTGCAGGAGGGGCAATAGAGGGAAGAAATGCCTCCATGATCACGGGATTACTCTGCAGACAATGGGGCTGCTGCAAGCTCAGATGTCCTCCAGGGATCTGTGGGAGGATGCTGCAGCAATGAGGAGGTTGTTTGCCCTGTCACTGCCCCAGAAGCCACTCCGAATGCTCTGGCAGGGTGATTTTGCAGGAGGATGAAACAGCTTGGAATTGTATTTAATTTTCTGGAGATTTTCCAGCGGTACCGAGTGTCCTCCTAAGCCTGTCCATTCCTTTTTGCATAGATTTTGGATCATGCAAGTCCCAGGAGGGTTCTGGGAGGAAGACACAGGATGATGCTCTCTCAATAGCCAAACGCCACTTCAGCATGTAGGGGAACCCCACCTTGGCAATTTCCAAAGGTGCAATTGGCCCCATGTGGATAATTTTCTATCACAGCACTGTTACAAAGGGACCAGAGTTGAGGCTGGCTGAGAGTTCAAAGTCCTAAATTAAAATCCCATCTTTGGCACTGACCCCCATGGTAAGTTATGCCATGCATGAAATGACAATTGCAATTACTTGCTGAGTTATCCCAATGGCAAGTGTTCTAAAAGTGCAGAGATTTTTGTATTTTTTAGAGTTTTCTCACTAATGCATCTGCAATTTGCAGCTATTCGTAGACTACAGACCTGAAACTTTTCAATTCAGCTTTTGTTGTTCAAAAGATAAAAATTAATAACTTTCTGTACAACTGCTCATCTCTAAACCTTTTCTTTTGCCTGATGTTGCTTATCTTCTCTTTGGATTGAAACGTGGCACAGTTATTCTGATCTGCTGCAGTGGTAATTCATTGGAACGGTAAGAACCCAGTTAGCCTCGTTAATGTTGACAGCATATCAGAACAGGATGGGATTTCTCTGCTGTATCAAAACATGGGGTTTCAGTCACGTTTGGGCTGCAGCTCCAGGAACACCTTTGCTTGAAAAGCAACCATTATTTTGATTATCCCAGCTGAAGCATGAGCAGTCCTGAAAAAGCCAGCAGCTCTGTGCTTTGTTGCTGATCTGTTACAGGACTTTGGTGAAGACCTTCATATGATTATTCAGTTTCCCAAAGGAAAGAAAATGAAAACTGAAAATCTGGGGACAGGAAGAGCTCTCTGTGTGTATGTGTGTTAGGTATTATTGCTTAAACATAATAAGTAAGGGTCTCCCAGTCCTGTGGTGTGCGTGCTTGGGTGACTGAGCAGGCATCCCCAGCAAGTGCAATGCCTCTCCTCCATGGCACCTGAGACCACCTCCAAGGGCTCAGGCTCTGCAGAGCTGCAGGAGATCATCAGAGTATTTTGGTTTTGTTTCCTTGATCCTTTTCCCCTTCCTAAGCTTCCAGGGCAGAAAACCAGCTCGTTTCTTGCCATCTTCTGTGTCAGGAACATGACTGACAGGTACTGCCGGACAGGCACCGGGTGCAAGGGCAAGTGGGTGGCCGCATTCGGCCTCAAGTTTTTCCTAGAGACCTGAAAAACAGCCACAGTCACTAAATGTGTGCGACCCTGGGCGCCCAGGGAGCTGCCCCTGCAGCAGGGCCTATACAGCCCTTGCCGTGGCCACGGCAGCGCCTGTCCTGGTCCAGCTCTGCCACAGGCCTGAGCTTTCACATCCAAGGCTCTGCAATGCTTTCAGCCGGCGCTTTCAGTCAGGAGGCCTTTCTGAAGAAAAGGGAAAGCTTGCCCATAGGAAAATATGCACGCTCAGCCATATCACTGGGGTTTGCCCAGCTCCAGCCAACGGCCGTGCACCCTTGGAGTGGCGGCCATCTTGGGAGCCGCGTGCCCGCCACGGCGCCATCTTGTGGCCCCTGAGGGCTGTTGCCAGTCGACAGCACCCGGAGAGGGGGCCGGCTGATGAAGGCGTTGTCCTTCTTGTTATGGACTAAAATTAAAGCATTTCAGTGTTGTAGAGCCGCCTGCTTCTCGGCGCAGCAAGCGAAGGACCAAGAGGTTCAGTGATCCCCTTGCAATGCCCCCCCGTGCTGTGTGAGGGCTGGCTGGAGAGCCACACTGGTGCAGAGACCTTCCACCATGGTGTGGGGATTTTCGGGTGTCACGACAAGCCCCAGGGCCTTTCCAGTGTGTTGGAAGGCACCTTCGCAGTGAAAACTGCATCAGCAGCAAGGGACTGCTTCTTGCATTACAACACACAAGTTGCTAAAAAGGTAAGATACCATGGTGATAAACAGATACTATTCCTGTTCAGGGCAAGCCTACACCTAAGTCCTTCTAAGTGCACATGTCTGAAAATACAGCTCCCAGCATTTCACCAAGATTTAAAACCCACAGGCACCTTTTTTCACCTAGAGCCTGCCCTGTGATAATGTGTTTTCTGGTAAAACGCTGAATTGCAAGTGAGTATTTGGGAAAAATAATCTGTTAATCAGCACCATCATTCCTCAAACGGTGGTGGTGGGTAGTGGTGTGACCCTGAGGCTGGTGGAGAAAGCCGATATACTCCCTGGTTTGAATGGCGCTCCCCCTCTCCTGGGCTACACCAACAGGCAGCAGGCACAGAGCTGTTCAGGTGACACTGGAGAGAAAGCTCCTGTACCTTCTGACAGCTCACATAGCCTTTGGAGCTGCATTTGAACTGAATGAGAGTGCCCTGCAGTATTGTAGATAGCAAAATGGGATCAGTCACGGTTTCAGGTATTGACCTGTTTGTCACAGCATCATCCCTTGGGGAATCTCACTTCAGTCTCTTTCTTGCTAAAGCTTTCCAAAAAGTGTTATTTAGGCCTTTTTGCAATCCCTTGTCCTATATCATTGAATGAAAAGTTTTCAGAGACAGTCTGTATTCACAGTTTTACAAACATTGATCAAAACATCTAGGTTTCCACAGGTTTATGTTGTACATTTAGGTGCCTCTAAACATTTGAAAACCTAGCTCTTAGTGTTTAGCTAATCTTTTCCTTACTTCTTAGTATTGGTAAATGAAGTAGTTATCAAGTTATTGTTGTTACTTAGTAAAATGCTGTTATGGTGAAAGCATCAAACAATCTAACACATATTCACTTAACACTTAAAAGTAGTTAAAAATTACTTTTATGAGGTAAAGCAGTACAAGGTCTCTCTGTGAGCCCCATGTAAGCCAGTAACACTCAGGACTGGAGAAATGTTATTTTATACGTTTTCAGTAAGTTGCCATGGCCATAGTTTTATAACAGTTACACACCAGACACACCCCCCAGCCAGTCTAGGTGAGGAACTTAATTTATTGGTGAAAGGCCTCAGGATATGCCCCCTCCAAATATTATGTGTGACTGTAACTGAAATTTTATTCTAGGAGTAGATTAAATGACAGTATCATTGACAATTTGCCTAGGGCATTGCAATTTTCTCTTTTGACTTGCACTGGGAATTAAATTAAGCTTCTAAACTCTGCTTTTCTGCTCACAATCTGCCTAATCAAAGCAGGAGATCCTCCTGAACATTTCAATGCCCAAGTTGCTGGTAGGAGTCCCTCATAGATTTCTCTTTTAAATTTAGCACAGCCCAGAATAGTAACTCTTACATAACATATACACAGCAAATATGGGACTTGCTATAATTTCAGTGAGAGACTGCAGATTTCCTGCCTTGCAGAATAACTAAAGCAGACAGCATTAGAATCACCCCTCATATAAAAAGCATGAGCAAATAAACTTATTCTTAAAAAGCAAGGGATAATGTTCCTTTTAGGTATCAGAATATAATTGACAACCAAATGGACAGATCCTAGCTCCTGTCATGTGTCTGTGACTGGCATTTTGGCTTCTGTTTACCTCAAGACACGCAGGTGTGCTGGACTCCCTGTTCCTGAGGATAGAGACAGTAAGGCAAGACTTTGCACTCCATTGTGGACGGGCCACTGGGGCTAGTTGGGGAGTTCTTAGATAAATATGATCTCTGCTTATTCACAGCTATCTATCTGTCTGTGGAACATACACTCCTCTATGCGGCCTGTGCCACAGAGAGATCTTGTAGGAGTGAAGAACCTTTCTGGCATAGTATGCTTGGCAGGGGAACTGGCAGAAGGAATGAAAGAGACCTTCCATCCCTTTTCACCCCCTCTTTCCCTCTCTTTTCCATAGCTTGACACTTCCAGTGACAGTGAACCGCAGAGCAATTGCAAAGCATGAATGTTATGTGTGTATCACAGCTGGAGCTCAATCCCTGCCATGTTTCAGGGGTGAATCCATGAAATACCGCATCCTCTGAGTGCTCACTCTCTCTTTCAGGCTGACAGCCTTTGAGGGCTGTAGCATACTTAGCTAGGTAGGAGTCAACTGTTCTGGTAGGCAGGACACCAGCACACCTCAGCTCCCCAGTCACTCCAGTGCTGTTATACTAGATGAAGCAGCAAGGACCTTCACTGTGTGAAGTCAAATGGTAGTAGCCATGTGGACTCTTGGACAGGATTTCATTTCCTTGAGATCCAGAGATGCAGTGTCATAGAACTGCTGGCACCTTGCCTACAGAGTATGGGCTGGACAGTATTTGGCCCTGTCATTTGATGAGATTATTTACAGAGAGGAATTTGCTTAGCTAAGAATCCTGCATGGAAACAGAAACATGTCAAATAAGCAATTACCCCATACTCAGAGGCTTATGGAGATCAATCATACCGACCTATACTCCCTGCTGTTTCCTGGATTGCCTTAGAAATAAGAAACCTACCAGTAAAGGCATTAAGGCATTATTAGATTAGCCTTGATTTTGCAGTCGGCTTGGGAACTTTTGATCTGATAAGAAGTATCCCCACCTGGTGATTTGGTAAGGTACCCTTTTCTTGTAGGTGTAAATGATGATGCAGACAAGGCGGTGGGATCTCAAAACCAGTTCATTGCACAGAGGAAATTTACCAGTTTCATTAGAATGATGAGGTTGCACCAGTTTAACTGTGTGTCCCTTTAAACCTTGCTTACACCCGTGAAGTTTTCCCCAGGCTATTACAGAGTATGGACATACACACAGAGCTGCACTGGTTGAACTAGAGCAGTGTGATGCCATATTTTTAGCTAAATCATTAAAACTCCTTAAGGAATATTTAGGCGTGGCGTTTATCTGTCCTTCAGACCTATAGCAACACCCTGATCTTGCTTTCTTGTCTCTATTAGGAACTAGTCTGTGATTGTTTTCTGTGCTGATACAAAAGGGTGGGGTGGTGTCTTCCTTTCTACTTGCTTCACTATAGACCCTGGGCTTTCTGGACCCACAAAAGTAGAGGGCAGTGGTTACTGGAAAGGTAGCTTTAATGCCAGCCATTGCCATTTATAGCCATGAATGTACTCTCTCTGCTCCCACAGAGTCCCAGGAGTCACATGATTGCGGGTCAAAATAAAGTTTCCCTCAGGGGTAAAAAAAAAAGAGGAGCCTGCCCTCCTGTAGGCAACAGACTGGC